ATCAGTAGCCTTGGAAACGCCATGAAATATGAATAGCCAATCAGGAATCCCTTTGGTAAACTCTCGTTAAGCATATTGAATCAATGACAGGGTGTCAGCTGATGAAGCCTTGAGATTGCTTGGATTAAAGAAGCGAAACAGCAGATCCCGAGAAGCTGATGATACGATGTTCGCGTCATGAACATCAAAAGTGTACCAATCGCTTCGTCGCGATAAGGCGAATTCAAAGCTGTGCTCCTTAAAGCCAACTGATAACTCTGCTTCACGAAATGCTGGGTTGAAGACCCTGAAGAAATCCATTGTTCCCTCAATAGAAGTCAATAGAAGTTGGGGATTGTACAAATGCTTATGTTCATTCTTGACTGAAAGTGTAGCTGTCCGCGTCATAGGAGTTGGTCCACAGCTTGAACGAATATTTCCGCCTGGTATGCGAGAAACCATTCACGCCAGAGAGCATAGCTAACAGCTCCGAATTGCACAGAACCATACTCAACCGCTTTCCCCGCCCCGAGAATGTATAGTACCACAAGCACACACCCACAACACTATCCCTTCTTTCGTCCTCTTTGTAAATTCTACCATTATCCTGCGGAATTTCTTGTCCTTCGACGTGTGTAGGAAACGTGCTTGTCCGCATTTCACCCTTGCGTTCCTTCTCTCAACCTGAAAACGACGACGTACGGGCGGGATCCATATGACCACTTGTCCTCGCAACGAGTCGCAGGCTGTGGCTTGTTTCGACGGCTCGGATTTTGGTATTATCCAACCGCGCACGCTGATTTGCATCTGTCAGGTACCGTCGGTGGGCAATAGAGGCATGCAGAGAACCGAACACCACCGCTAGTTCTAGTACGTACAGCCTTGTACATACAGGGCTGTTCTTCGTTGTTCCAATGTCCCACCGAACTTGAAAGTTCATTCGGTTTGTGGAGCTGCCAAGTTGTGTACCTTTGTGATGTAGAGGGTGGGTTGCATTGCGTACATTGCAGTACACTAGCCCATTTTGCACTTGATATTATTCCACTGTTTTTCACCTGCTCATTGTGCTGTTGAGTGGCCACTGGCCAGTGCTCGCCTTCTGTTGATCGTTCCAATTCGGACTGATCCTCTCAGGGAGGTCATGTTCGTCTGTTGCTAACTGGCGAACTGTAGCTACAGCACTTGATTGCTAAAATCGGGTCTGGCTGGAGCTGTTCTGTGTTGGCTTGTGAAATTTGGGGGGACCATCCAAATCCAGAATGGCTGTGCGGCTCGAAACACCATGTCCTTTCAAATGCTGCTTCCTGTTGGGGAGGGTAAGAAGGTGTGTCCTCCTACGAGTCGGTCAATTCAGTCTGTTCACCTTAGTCCCAAGAATCGAATCGCCTTTCCTCGTCACGGACGTCGTGTGTGCTTGCATGTCATAATGTTGGCGTCAATGTCGCCCGCATCGCGTCTGCTTGATACGATGGAACGGAGAGGTGGAAGGAACTCATCGCGCCAGTGCAATGTTTGATGAGACGATTCTGGATAAAAGCATAGCCTCAGTGTTTCGAAACACATTCGGCGATCTCAGACGCTAGAGCCTCCATCCATAGAACCGTGTCGGCCTCTCTGTTTGATTCTTCAGATAGCCTCTCTGTCTGATTTCTTCAGCACCGCTATCAGCCGTGAGGGTGTCTGCTCCTACGAGCATCTGGCATTTCCTCACGTGCTTTTGGGCAGAAAGTCATTTCGATCCCACAACGCCGTTGTTTATTACTCATTTTGCACCTACGTGCAATAAACCTCATTGTGAACGGGTCGTTTCCGGCGCGATTGTTGACGTCCTCGTTATGGAGCTGAACGCGATGATGCCGATCTTCTGCGGGTCCATCTTCCTCTTCTCCACGCTCGTGTCGTGCGTCGGCACCATGATCAGCGCGGGGGTATTCGAGGAATGCTCGCTTCCAACGGTCAGCCTGGGCCCCGTTGCGAAGCACTTCAACCCCGCGCGACTGAGCGTGCTGTGCCCGCCTGTGATGGAGGAAATGTCAAAGCTCGCGTACCACTGACCAGCGAATGTTATCGTGAAACGTCACGATGGTCGTCTCGAAATGTTACCATGGTCGCTCGTCAACTAATGTCATCGCGAAACGCACCGTCCCTCGCTGCTGCTGCGGCTGCTTCTCGCGACCGCTTTCCGCCGGCTCAAGTGCTTGAGATGTGCATGCGCGATGATCTAGTAAACGTGGGACATTTGGCGACAAGACAGCCCCTTGATTTGCCTTCTGCCACGCTTTATCCAGTTATATTTTCTTTCCGAAACGGGACGGGTGACGTTTTCGGATTTCTTTGGGAAGGGACGTCGCGTCGGGAGTGAGTGGGGTGCGGAAGCCTCGAGATTAGGTGAATCTGCGTTGTCGGGAGCCCGCTCAAGCAGGGTTCTGAATTGCACATACGTAGGCAAATGTAATTCTAGTCATCTATTCGTTATTGTTTTTCTTCTCCTGTTTGGCCTTCACGAGACTCCTAAGACTGGGATTGATGTCGAAGTGAACGTAACAAGAAGAAACTAGGCCCAGAAACAACAATGGAACAGCTATTGATTTGAATCGAAGGAGCGGTGATAGTTGGATGGGATAGGCGTGCTGGTGGCGAGGGTAATTATACCGAGGCAAACAACGCGTACGATTTGTTGCACTGTGGTGTACATTCGAATGAGGAAATAGCGGCTATGTCAAGGGTACAAAGTCATATACAAGTTCGTAATGGCAAATATAGCTACATATAGAGTTGAATAAAACCGAATTCAACCTTAGTGGAGATTGCGGAATGCAAATCACAAGACAGAAATGTACAACGAGAAGATACTATGGATTGTGCGAGAACGCTTAAGGCAGAAGTAGCTTCGTCTTCATCAACTCATTACATCAACCCCCTGCTGCACTGCAGGTGCTGGCAAGTTAAACGAAACCCAGTCGCCACTTTATTCTAAAATACCGTATTCTTGCGGTGCAGCCATCTGGCACTGTTCAACAGGGCAAGTTGAGCTCAGTGGAGGCCTTTCAAGAGGTCTCAGAAGTCGTTCCTGGCATTAAATAATCACCTCTCACAGTGCAGTGTCTCCCAGTGCTAGAGAATGAAGTCGAGTTGAGAGTGGAGGAGAAAAGGGGCCCCGGCTCAAGGCTCTGGAGCCATTTCTGAGCGGGGAACAGGGGTTGAAATAGGGATTGGGAATGGGAGAAGTGAAAGGTTGAGGTGAAATGGGAATGGAAAGGGTTCTGAAAGGGAGAATAAGGGGGAGTTGAAAGGGGGAGTGAAAGGGGAGTTGAAAGGGGAGTAGAAAGGGGGTGTTGAAAGGGGGTTCTGAATGGGAGAATTGAAAGGGGGGGATTTGAAAGGGAGAATTGATAGGGGGGGTTGAAAGGGGGTTTCTTTTAAGGGAGAATTGACAGGTGGGGTTGAAAGGGGGTTCTAAAAGGGAAAATTCAAAGGGAGAATTCAAAGGGGGAATTCAAAGGGGGAATTGAAAGAAAGTTGAGAGTAACCACTAGCGCCCTATCTTCACAAAACATCTAACCACTAGGGCTCTATCTTCACAAAACATCTAACCACTAGCGCTCTATCTTCACAAAACATCTAACCACTAGCGCTCTATCTTCACAAAACATCTAACCACTAGCGCTCTATCTTCACAAAACATCTAACCACTAGCACTCTATCTTCACAAAACATCTAACCACTAGCGCTCTATCTTCACAAAACATCTAACCACTAGCGCCCTATCTTCACAAAACATCTAACCACTAGCGCCCTATCTTCACAAAACATCTAACCACTAGCGCCCTATCTTCACAAAACATCTAACCACTAGCGCCCTATCTTCACAAAACATCTAACCACTAGCGCCCTATCTTCACAAAACATCTAACCACTAGCGCCCTATCTTCACAAAACATCTAACCACTAGCGCCCTATCTTCACAAAACATCTAACCACTAGCGCCCTATCTTCACAAAACATCTAACCACTAGCGCCCTATCTTCACAAAACATCTAACCACTAGCGCCCTATCTTCACAAAACATCTAACCACTAGCGCCCTATCTTCACAAAACATCTAACCACTAGCGCCCTATCTTCACAAAACATCTAACCACTAGCGCCCTATCTTCACAAAACATCTAACCACTAGCGCCCTATCTTCACAAAACATCTAACCACTAGCGCCCTATCTTCACAAAACATCTAACCACTAGCGCCCTATCTTCACAAAACATCTAACCACTAGCGCCCTATCTTCACAAAACATCTAACCACTAGCGCCCTATCTTCACAAAACATCTAACCACTAGCGCCCTATCTTCACAAAACATCTAACCACTAGCGCCCTATCTTCACAGAACATCTAACCACTAGCGCCCTATCTTCACAAAACATCTAACCACTAGCGCCCTATCTTCACAAAACATCTAACCACTAGCGCCCTATCTTCACAAAACATCTAACCACTAGCGCCCTATCTTCACAAAACATCTAACCACTAGCGCCCTATCTTCACAAAACATCTAACCACTAGCGCCCTATCTTCACAAAACATCTAACCACTAGCGCCCTATCTTCACAAAACATCTAACCACTAGCGCCCTATCTTCACAAAACATCTAACCACTAGCGCCCTATCTTCACAAAACATCTAACCACTAGTGCCCTATCTTCACAAAACATCTAACCACTAGCGCCCTATCTTCACAAAACATCTAACCACTAGCGCCCTATCTTCACAAAACATCTAACCACTAGCGCCCTATCTTCACAAAACATCTAACCACTAGCGCCCTATCTTCACAAAACATCTAACCACTAGCGCCCTATCTTCACAAAACATCTAACCACTAGCCCCATACCTCCACACGCCACGAATCGCCACATTGCAGAGGTGGAGCGCTGCCACAGCTCACAAACCACTAGAACCATCCCAACCCTCAAACCCCAACACTAGCGCCGCTCCTTCCCCAAAGCGCCAGCAATAGCAACGCTTTACCCGGCTGCCAGCACCAGCAACATACCTCCGCACGCCACGGATCGCCAGATGGCCGAGGCAGACCGCTGCCACACCTCCATCAGCTCCTCCTCCGTCTGATGGGGGCAGGGGCAGCACCGCACAGCAGAGAGCAACACAACGCAAAACAGGACACCATGGAGCAGCACATAGCAACACAGGTAACACAGCAATACAATTTGATTCGATGACGTTTTAAAACAAAGAATAAATTCACAGCGAAAGAATTTTGCAGGCCGCCTTGGAAAATGAATATACGAAGCACACAAAATATCCAAATCCAGTCCCCTCCTCTCACCTCGCACTGCTTCTGCAGCTGCTCCCGCTTCGCCAAACCAAAGGCCCTGCACCATAGCCGAAGCAAATCTGCCTGCATCTGCCTCCCTCTTCGTTTACCCTCCACACCCCTACCTCATCCCAACCCCACCTACCCTACACCACACACCATCCCACCCCACCTACCCCACACCACACCCCATCCCACCCCACCTACCCCACACCATACCCCATCCCACCCCATTGCAACCCTGCTCACCTCGCACTGCTCCTGCAGCTGCTCCCGCTTGGGCATGGCCCAGCTCCACAGCCGCAGCGCCACCTTCACAGCCCTGCTCTGCTGCTGGGGGGTGGGCTCACCGCCTGTACAACAAGGGTGGGGAGAGTGGGTGGGAGAAGAACGGGGGTTTTGCTGGGTGAGAGAAGAAGTGAGTGAGGGTAAGGGTGACACGACCCGTGTAGCAATGCCACCTGCACCGCCCTGCTCTGCTGCTGGAGTGTTGGTTCCCCAAACAAACAAGAAACGGAAAGAACGAATGAAACTCACACTCTTCTATCAGTGACAGCAGCTTGGCGACGAACCCCGCCACCCCTCCGCCGCCCTGCACCGGCCACCAGTTGCCGGTCGGCAGCGCCATCCGGGCGGCAACAGCGAGCGAGACGTCGATCCATTCGTCATCTTCTGGGTCAAGTATGTCCAGCAGCGACTGGGCGGCGTCGTCTCTGGGCGGCAGATCCTGTAGCAGGCCGGCCAGGCCCCAGTCAAAGACAGTTGAGACGGTGGTGCTGCTGCACGTGCCGTCCTCCTCCAGTTCCTGAGAGCGAAGGTGGGGAGAGACGGGGGGGGAAGTGGGGAGGGTGATGGAGAAGGGAGAAAGGAGAAGGAGAGGTGGAAGGGTCGGTGGCGCTGCTGCACGTGGCGTCCTCCTCCAGTTGCTGCGGTGTGGGTGGATGGCGGAGGGGGGGGATGTGACGGAGGGAAGGGGTGGTGGAAAAGGGGGGAGAAGAGGTGGACGGGACAGTGACACTGCTGCACGTGCCATCGGGGAAGAGAATGCAAGAAGAGGGAGAAGAAGCAAGGGAGTGTAAGGGGAGAGCAAAATGGGGGGATGGGTGGGGTTCGGGTGAGGTGGGGAAGGAGAGGCGAGAGTTGTTGGGGGGCAGGTGGGTGAGTGGGGAGGGACCGGGGGGAAATGATCCAAGAAGGAAGGTGGGCGGTTGAACCAGATGTCCCAGGAAAACGGGCGACATGGGCGAACTGGGCCATACCCCAGACAAAATGGAGGCGTGGCATTCCTGCGTTTGAAGAGTCCAATAAATCCTCCATGCATGCACCTCACCTAACCGCTTTGCATCCACCCATCCCCCATACAAGCAGCCTCACATCGTAGCTAACCAGATGGAGAGGCTCTCCATGGCGCCACCCACCCATCTTAACCCATTAACAAACCCCATGCACCTCTCCCCACCCGTCACCCCCCATACAAGTACAAGCAGCCTCACATCGTAGCTGAAGCACATGGAGAGGCTGTGCTCTGCATGGCGCCACCCACCCATCCCAACCCATCCCAACCCATCCCAACCCATCCTTCCATCCCCCATACATGCCACCCTACTTGCTCCTCAGTCAACCCCCAAACCATCAACTCTGAGGGTTGAGTCAGCTTGAAATCCAACCACCCCCCCCCGTCCCACCCACCGCCACCATCCCAAACACCCATCTCATTCCTCACCGCCCACCCACCCACCCCTACCCAAACCATTCATCCCCCATACGATCTTTGAGGCGCCTAAAAAATCGCCCCACCCACCGCAACGCAACCATCCCAACCCAAGCACCCACTCCTTTCCACCGCGCCCAGAAACCCACCCACCCCTACCCAACCCATTCATCCCCCATACAAGAAGCCTCACTCACATCGTAGTTGAACCAGATGGAGAGGCTCTGCATGGCGTGCAGCAGGCGGGGCAGGTCGTGCTGGCGCATATCTATCCCCTTTACAAGCATCCATCTTTCCCCGTTATAAGCAGACCCACGTCATAGTCGAACCAGATGGAGAGGCTCAGCATGGCGTGCAGCAGGCGGGGCAGGTCGTACTGGCGCATATCTATCCCCTTTTCAAGCATCCATCTATCCCCGTTATAAGCAGACCCACGTCATAGTCGAACCAGATGGAGAGGCTCTGCATGGCGTGCAGCAGGCGGGGCAGGTCGTACTGGCGCATATCTATCCCCTTTACAAGCATCCATCTATCCCCGTTATAAGCAGACTCACGTCATAGTTGAACCAAATGGAGAGGCTCTGCATGGCGTGCAGCAGGCGCGGCAGGTCGTACTGGCGCATATCTATCCCCTTTACAAGCATCCATCTATCCCCGTTATAAGCAGACCCACGTCATAGTCGAACCAGATGGAGAGGCTCTGCATGGCGTGCAGCAGGCGCGGCAGGTCGTACTGGCGCATATCTATCCCCTTTACAAGCATCCATCTATCCCCGTTATAAGCAGACCCACGTCATAGTCGAACCAGATGGAGAGGCTCTGCATGGCGTGCAGTAGGCGTGGCAGGTCATACTGGCGCATATCTATCCCCTTTACAAGCATCCATCTATCCCCGTTATAAGCAGACCCACCTCATAGTCGAACCAGATGGAGAGGCTCTGCATGGCGTGCAGCAGGCGCGGCAGGTCGTACTGGCGCATATCTATCCCCTTTACAAGCATCCATCTATCCCCGTTATAAGCAGACCCACCTCATAGTCGAACCAGATGGAGAGGCTCTGCATGGCGTGCAGCAGGCGGGGCAGGTCGTACTGGCGCATATCTATCCCCTTTACAAGCATCCATCTATCCCCGTTATAAGCAGACCCACCTCATAGTCGAACCAGATGGAGAGGCTCTGCATGGCGTGCAGCAGGCGGGGCAGGTCGTACTGGCGCATACCTATCCCCTTTACAAGCATCCATCTATCCCCGTTATAAGCAGACCCACCTCATAGTCGAACCAGATGGAGAGGCTCAGCATGGCGTGCAGCAGGCGGGGCAGGTCGTACTGGCGCATATCTATCCCCTTTACAAGCATCCATCTATCCCCGTTATAAGCAGACTCACGTCATAGTTGAACCAGATGGAGAGGCTCTGCATGGCGTGCAGCAGGCGCGGCAGGTCGTACTGGCGCTCCACGAGGCGCCCCACTCGCACCCACATGGGCCACCCCACCTGCACGCCCGGGTCGTCCATTCCCTCAATCTTGTGAACTGCCCTCTCCTCCATCTCCCCCACCTCGCCCTCGCCCAGCCACTTGGTGAGTAGCACCTGCAGACCAGGCACGCACAAGCAGGGGAACAGGACAGCGGGCGAGAACAGGGAGAGACATGGGAGCAGGTGAGAGAGTGAAAGGCGCGTCTGTGCCACACCACCACCACTATCACCACCACCGCCAGCACAACTAGCAGGCGCGGCTGGGCAGGTCGTACTGTCGCTTGGCCAGGCGCCCCACGCGCACCCACATGGGCCACCACCGCACCTGCACTGCACGCCTGGATCGTCCATTCCCTCCATCTTAGAGACTGCCCGCTCCTCCATCTCCCACACCACACCACACCACACCACACCACAACCCACCCACTTGCCCACGCACCTGCGCGCAGAGGTTGAGCTCTCTTTCCTCCATGGGCGCCCCTCGGCTGTTGATCCTGAGGAAGTTGAGCAGCAGCTCGTACGCCCACGCGTGCTGCCGGCGCATCACTTCGCTGCGCAGCATTGCATCCACAAACTCCGCCACGTACGAGTTCTGCTGGGAGGTGCGCGGAGTCAGGAACACCGCACTCGACGGCTTGCTGCCCGTACCCGTGCCACTGCCCAGGCCTGTGCCCATGCCGGTGCCAGTGCCAGTCTTACCCACTCCGCCTCCCATCCCCCCTCCTAGACCCCCGCCTGGGCTCATCCCAGCAGCTCCCCCCCAATTCCCTGCTGCGCCAGCACCAGCACCACCAGCACTGCCAGCACCTCTCGGGCTTCCGTGGGGGGTGCTGGAGAAGAAGCTTCCAGCCCAGCCTCTCGCCCCTCCTCCTCCCCCTGCTGCAGCAGCAGCAGCAGCAGAAGGGGAAGAAAGGGTGCCACTTCCGCTGGTGCCGCTCCCTCCCCCCAGCCACAGCGTAGGAATGTCACTCTTGCCCCGGGCGTGCCCTGGCTTGGATCTACCCGCACCAGATAACGCCTCCCCGTCCTCCCGCCCCTCCTCTGCTGCCCCTTCACTCAGCCATGCTCCCACCTCGCCTTCGCTCCCTCCCCGTCTCCTCCCCTCCCTTGCTACCAGTTCGACACCACTACCACCAGCGCTGGGACCAGTGGCATCAGAATTGTTGCCGGCACCTGAGGCACCACCTGAAGAACCACCTGACGCACCGCCTGGTCCAGCATCAACCACTGGAGCGCTTGCTCTGCCAGCCGCCCACAACCCACCCACCGAGCCTGCCGCCGAGCCTTTCCCAGAACCTGCTGCCGCAGCTGCAGCTCCGGAACTAGCCTGGGAGGCAAGCGCAGAGCCCCAACTAGAGGCAACTGCAAAGGCAGCAGCAGCCCAACCAGGAGCAGCCGCGGAGAGAGACGGGGAGGGGGAGGCTGAGGGAACTGTTGAACCAGAGAGAGCAGGAGAGGAAGTGGAAGAGGGGGAGAGAGGATCAGAGCCGGCAGCTTTGGCTGCTGCTGCTGCTGCTGCTGCTGCTGCTGCTGCTGCTGCTCTAGGGGAGGTAATATCTGGATCCGCCTTGACGGCAGCGTCTGAGCCTGTCCCCCCACCTCTACTACTGCTTGCTCCTGCGCTCCTCCCCCCTTGCGCTGCTCCCCCAGCACTCCTCCCTCCTGTATTAGGAGAGGAGAGGGGAGAGAGATGGGCCCCCTCTACCGCCCCAGGCCCTACCCCAGACCCCCAGAACTGGGCCGTTTTCACCGCAGCAGCCAGCCTAGCAAACCGCATTGTAACCGACTCAACCCCTCTACCTGTAAATACCATTCCAATCACCCGATCGAACCCAGCAGCCTTGAGCCTCCCACTGGAAACGGCCCTCAGTGCGGCATGAAACGCCGCCTCGTCTAACCCTAATTCCTGGGCTAGACTCGCAATTGCCATGCTGTCGTCCGGGTGTATATGCTCAAGTTCCCTCATCGTCGCCGCCAGGGTCATCCCCAGCAGGCCCGGGCCGAGGCTGAGCTGTAGGTACAGCCGATCCTGCTCCTCACACCGTTCCTCCAGGCTCGAGTGGGTGGCAGCTGCAAGCCCTTCTGCTAGTGCTACCTCTGCCATAGCTGCTAGGGACATGGGTTCCCAGACCTGAGGTCTACGCGGGGTGTGGGTGGAGGAGAGTGGGGAGTGAGAGAGTGGGGAGTGGGAGAGTGGGGAGTGGGTGAGTGGGGAGCGGGAGCGGGAGCGGGAGGGAGGGCGGCTGGGATGAGCTGGGGAGTGGTTGGGGGGGGTTGGGATTGGTGAGGTTCCTCCCATGTGGGCGAGAGGAGCGGAAGCAGCAGCACCAGACGCAGCAGCGTCAGAAGTATCCACACCGGATGCCAGACTCGGCATGGTCCATCCCCTTCTCTGCTGCTCCTTACTCACACCTCCCCCACCCCTCCTCCCCCTCTGCCTCTCCATCCCTTCCTCCTCCCCCCCACCTTCCCTCTCCTTCTCACCCTCCTCCTCCTCCTCGCCTTCCTCGCCCTCCTCCAGCCGCCCCTCCCCATCCCCTCCTTGCCAAATCATCAGCCGCTGCACAGCAGGGGTGGACGCCGCTACAGCCGCAGCGGACCGCTCGCTACAGGCAGTCAGGACCGCAGACAGGCACGACACTACAAACGCCCGGCAGGCCGGCAGATGTGCCCCTAGTAAAGGAGCCCAGGACCTGTTGCCCCCACTGATGCTGCTGCTGCTCCTGCTGCTGGTGGTAGTGGTGGTGGTGGTGCCGTTGCTGCTGCTGCTGATTGCGCTCGCAGCTTCGGAACTCTCCGAGCCTCTGCCGGAGGTGGCGCCGCCGAAGCTCGAGCTGGGGGGTCGGTGCGAGGGGTGCAGAGCGGTGGATTTGTGAGAAAGAGGTTCGTCTGCGTCTGGGTTGAACTGAAGAAGCATCAGCTGCTGCTGCTGCATTAACTGCATGCTGGGTGTGCGGTTGTGACCGATAGGTGCAAAGGACCGTGACACAGGCACAGCAGCACGAGGCGAACCCCTCACAGACCCTGCTCCTGACGCCCCTGCACCTGCACTGCCACGCCTAGCCAATCCTAGCCTCTGATAACCACCGGCAGCACCAGCAGCAGCGGCACCAGCACCAGCTGCACCAGACGCACCAGCAGCAGCGGCTGCTGTGGCTGATGCTGCTACAGCTGCCGCTACAGCCTGCTCTCGCTCCAGCTGTAGCTCGAAGAAGGCGATGCGGTCGAGCAGGCGGAGGAGAATGAGGGCGGCTGTAGCGGGGCGCCACACGCTCAGCGCTGCAGCGAGGCCGACAAAAACGAGTATGTTGTCGTGGTGGCAGCGCGAGGCAAGGAACAGGTCCGTGTACCCCCGCTCTGCTGCTGCTGGCGGTGCTGTTTGGGTTGCTGCTCCTGCTACTGATGCGCCAGCAGATTCTTGGGCGAAATCGACGCTACCCCCATCAGCACCATCAAGACCAGCACCGGCAGCACCATCATCACCAGCACCGGAAGCAGCAGCAGCGGAAGCAGCAGCAGCGGAAGCAGCAGCGGGAGCAGCAGCAGGGAGAGCAGGGACAGCAGCGCGCAGGTCGCAGCAGAGAGCCATGCTAACCAGCTGCTCCTGAATGCTGCCCTCTGGATCCCACACAAACACACGCACCGCCGCTGCTGCAGGTGCTGCCAGCACAGGCCGCCCCTCTGCCCCTCTCCCCGCCCCCTCCTCCCCGCCTCTGCCTCTGCCTCTGCCCGCTCCTCGCCCCCTCCCATCGCCTGCATAGGCCATGCGGCCGCTGCCCCCTTCCACTGCTGCTGTTGTCAGCGACTTCCCATACGCCCCCTCCTGCTCCTCCTCCTCCTCGTCCCCCTCACGCTCTCCTGCCCCTCTACCCCCGATACCACTGCCATAGGCACCGGCAGCAGCAGCAGCAGCACCAGCTTCCATGCTGAGCCACCGTTGGGGGCGGGAAACAGGCCCGGCCAACCCACCACCACTCTTTCCCCCTTTCCCCTTCCCTTCCTCCATCCCACTTAACACTACGCCGCTCCCCTCCTCATTCGCCCCACCCGTCTCCTCCCATCTCCCAGACCCCGGCCCCACCCCTGCCAGCAAAACAGCAGCTTCAGCCAGATCGTCTTGAATGCGTGCGAATCCCAACCCTGCTAGGTCTGCTAGTTCAGGGGCAGTGGTGGAGGAGATAGTTGAGGAGAGGCGCAGCAGTCCCCCTCCCTCCCTCATGCTTCCCCCCTCGCGCAAACTGCTCCCTCTGCTGTTCACTCGGGCCGTTGTGAGGCCGCCGCGGCTGCTGGTTCGGCTGAAGGTTCGGCTGATGCTGCTGGTTCGGTTGATGCTGTTGGTCCGGTTGATGCTGTTGGTTCGGTTGATGCTGTTGGTTCGGCTCACTCGCCCAAAGCTGTCCCTACGAGCCCAAGGCTCGGGCGAGCCTATCCCAGTCCTCTCCTCATCAACCCAGCCTAACGACCTCTGCCTCCCTATACTCCCTCCTCCCCCTCCTCCCCCTCCCTCTCCCCCTCCTCCTCCCCTTCCCTCACTACTCAACCAAGCACCTGAAGGGATCCTTTCCATATGCTCCTCCCCATACCCCTCCCCCTCCTCCCCCTCCTCTCCCTCCTCTCCTTCCTCCAGCAGAACCTCCCCCTCATCCTCCTCCTCTGCCCAATCGGGAGGCCCGTCCCCCCACTGCTCCCAGAACCTCAACCACACAGCCAGTGCTACAGTAAACGCCTCGCTGACGTGGCGCTCTTTCAGCCTATCAGAGAGCTCCGTTGCGCTTCGGAATTTCTCACAGATCCACTCGAAGTCCCGGTGTGCCGCAGCTGATGACGAGGCTCGGACCATCGACCCGAGTCTCCCGTTGCTGCTGCCGAGCCTGCCGCTGCTGCCGCCAAAGCTGTCAGGCCGCATCCGAGCCAGACTGAACCCACCTTCCCTATACACCTCCTCTCTACCCTCCTCCCCTTCGTCACCCCTCTTATACCCCTTACAAGCATCCTCAGTCACCCACTCATCCTGACCCCCCTCCCATCGCTTCCCCTCATGCCCCCACCCTACACCACCACCACCCCCCTCCCCACCCACACACCCATCCCCAGCCGTCCGATTCACCATCAGATCACCCTCATCGTCCACAGACTCATCTCCAGCCGTCCGTTTGAGCATGAGATCGAGCAGATCCATGAAGAGCAGAGTCCAGTGCTCCCTACACCTCTGAGCCCTCACTCTAGCCGCCCCTATCGGCCCAAACTCCTGACCACACTGCCACTTACTGCTGCTCCCTGCTGCACCCCCTGCTAGAAACCCACCCCCAGCAGCAGCAGCAGCACCTGAAGGCCCATGATGATCCCAGTGCTGCCCATCTCTCACACCACTCACACCGCCCCCACCACCGCCACCGCCGCCGCCGCTGCTGCTGCTGGTGCCGGTGAAGCCAAAGGGTGTGGGGGGAGCAGAGCGCTGGGACGAGCCTGAGAAGCCTGCGAAACCCGGGGGGCCTGAGGGGCCTGGGGAATCGGAGGGGGCTGAGAGGAGTAGAGGGCGGAACTGGAAACCAGAACTGGTGGGGCGAGCGGTGGGCTGAACCGTGTTGAGAGGAGGCAGGTGGGGATCGTGTTGAGGGGCTTGGAGACCGCCTGTCATAGGGTCGCCCTCGCCCTGCTCATCATCCTGTCTGCCCTGCTCTGCCTGCTTTTGAGGCGCCTCACAGGTCTGCTCGCCCTGCTCGCCCTGCTCGCGCTGCTCGGCCAGCACCTCCCGGCCACTGTGAGCATCGCATTGCTCCTGCTCGCTTCTCACTCGAATCTTCTTGCCTTTGAACACGAGCTCTGAAACCATCCCCTCCTGAGCGTCCGCTTCTTCTTCCACCTCTGGCCTCCCTTGGGACATGACTCCTCTCAGTTCCTCGCCTGGAACAGTAAGGGGTCCTGAGGCGGTGGAGGGGGGTTCTGAGCGTTCAGAATGGGGTTCTGAGGTGTTAGATACGGTAGAGAGCGAGGAGAGGGGGCGCACTGGGACGCGCACTGAAAGCAATGGACTCGCAAAGTCAAACTCGTCCGTGCCGCTGCTGACCTGTCCGCTGCTGACCTGTCCGTTGCTGACCTGTCCGCTGCCGTTGCTGACCTGTCCGTCATTGACCAGTATGCTGTTGACCTGCGTTGACCCGATTGAACCTGATAAATTTGCTGGAATTGCTAGCTCTGAAAAACCCGTTGACCCAGTTGACCCAGTTGACCCTGTTAACCCCACTCCTGGCCCCGCCTTCCCCAAATCTGCCATGGTGAAATCCCGAGGTAAAGCCGGTACAGAAACAGCAGCAGCAGCAGCAGCAGCAGCACCCTTTTCAGCCGACTCAAAAGGCTTGCCCAGGTCCACCAAGGTGAAATCTCGAGGCAAACCGGGCATGACAGCAGCAGCACCCCGTTGAGACGTCTCAGGAGAAGCGCCCAAATCTGCCATGGTGAAATCTCGAGGCAAACCAGGCATAACAGCAGCAGCAGGAGTTGCTCCCTCTGTGAGTTTTCCAGACAGCCCAGCTTCAGTGGTGGCTGCCTCTGCTACTCCCTCTCCCTCTGCTACACTCCCCTCCTCTGCCTCCCCCACTCTTGTTTTCTCTCTCCCTTTCTCTCTCTCTTTCTCTCTCCTTGTCCCCCTCTCCTGCTCTCTCTCTTTCTCCCTCTTCTTCTCCCTCCCTTTCACGACTCCTAGCTTGGTCCACTCTATCACACCTTCCGATGATTCTGCCTCTCCACCGCCCTCCACCTCATCCCTATCCTCTTGAACCCTATCCCCTCCAATTCTGCCCTCTTCGATCGTACCCTCTTCTTTCCCTCCTCTTTTCTCCTCTTCCACTCTCTCCACCTCCTCCCTCTTCTCCTTCCCCTTTGCATCCTTCCCCTTCCCGTCCCCTCCCCCATCCCTCTTCTCCCCTTCCTTCCTCCCTTCCCTCCTCCCATCTTTCCTTCTCCTAGATGACACCTCACCTCCTCCCTCCTCCTCTCCCCCACCAGCAACCCCATTCCGTCTGCTGCTACTCTTCCCCATCCTCCTCCCGTCACCACTGCTCGGACTCACAATCTGCCCCGTTCCCCTACTACTACTCTTCCCTATCCTCCTCCCATCACCACTGCTTGGACTCACAACCTCCCCTGGTCCCTTACCACTGCCGCCCTCCCTCCTGCTACCACCACGCTCCCTCGCGCTCCTGCCAAGCTCCCGCCCACCAGTGTCACCCTCCTTCCAGCTACTGCTAGGGCTTTCCATGGGGCTGATGCTACCGCAAGTTCCTGTATCGAAGCTAATACTCGCATTGCTCTCTGTCCTTGTTACAGAGCTCTCTGTCCTCGTTATAGAGCTTGCTGCGTTACTGTCAGTCCTCTCTACAGACCTTGATGCGTTGCTGCTAGGGCTAATAGCAGCAGCAGCATCGCCACTGGTGGCTTTCTTTACCTTGTGCCTCTTCTCTGTCTTGACCCTATCCTCACCCTTAGTACTCCTGCTCTTCCTTAGAGCTTTGCCACTGTTGCTTCTCATACTATCACTTCTCATGCTATTCCGTTTCATCGTCTCACTTCTCATCGTGTCGCTTCTCTTGATATCCTCACTTCTCATAGTATCACTTCTCATAGTATCACTCCTCATACTGTCACTTATCACACTGCCACTTCCCACACTATCACTTCTACCACTTAATACACGCACTTCCGCACTCCTGTCCCCGTCCCTCTCCGTTTCCCCTCCCACCAATCTCTCCTCTCCCTCCCCCACTCCCCCCTCTCCCTCCCTCACTCCCCCCACTACCTGGCCTGCTCCTCCCTCTTCCCCTCCAATCCCTGCAGTCCCTGCTTCTTTTTCCACCCTCTTCTCTCCGTCCTTCTCTCTTCTTTCTTTCCTCTCCTTCTCCTTCTTCTCCCTCCTCTCCCTCCTCTCCCTCCTCTCCCTTCTCTCCCTACTCTTTTCATCCTCTTCCTCCTCCACCACGCCTTGCACTTCGCCTCCTCCCTCTCTGCCTCCACTCTCACTCCCCTCACACGCAGCAGACGACTTTTGAGGCGCCCCATAAGAAATCTCCTCTCTGCTTCCACACGCCTGCACTGCCAAACTCCCCTCTTCCTCTTGCAAACTCCCCCCTCCCCCTTGCGAACTCCCCACTCCCCCTTGCAAACTCCCCCCTCCCCCTTGCAAACTCCCCCCTCCCACTTGCGAACTCTCCCCTCCCCCTTGCAGACTCCTCTCTCCCCCTTGCAAACTCCCTGCATCACGTTTTTCCCCCAGAGTCTCCCATCCAAGTCCCCCACCCACCCTGTCATACGCTGATTGGCCAGCCTCCGCTGAAAGCAGCACTGCTTCCCCTGGTGATCTTCGAACCTCCTCCTCCCCAACCTTTTGGGTCAACTCAAAAATTGCCCCCTCGAATGCTGACTGGCCAGCCTCTGCTGGAAGCAACAGTGCGTCCCCTGGTGGTCTTCGAACCTCCTCCTCCCCAAGCCCTTCACCTCCTGCCTTATCCTCCCTCACTCCCGCCTCCCTCACTCCACTGACCCTCTTTCCAATCCCCCTCACTCCAATCCCACTCGCCCTCTCCCACTCCTCGAGCTCCAATCTCCCTTCCCACTCCGAATCCTCCCCCTCTCCATCCACTCCTCTTCCCATACCACCACCCAAGCCACCACCAATAGCGCCACCACCACCATCACCGCCCCCTCTCCTCTCACCTCCCCCACTGGCCAGTATCCTTTCAAAATCCAGTGCTGCTAAGCTCTTCCCCCTCATAGAACTTGATCCTGCCTGTCTTCTCTTAGCCTGCAGCAACGGGCTGTTAGCACCCGTTGCCCCACCCCCACCTGCTACAGCTGCTGCTGCCACTGCAGCAGCTGCAGCCATCGCAGCTCCGGCCGAACCTCCTCGGAACGACCGGGAGTGGAGAACCGAGCATCGGAGACCCGAGCCTGACCCTGCCGAACCTCCTGAGGCTCCGAGCCCGAAATCGTCTCCTCCTGCAGAAGCAGCTTCCCTCCAACCCCCTTTGCCTCCTGGGACTCTGGGAACCCTCCTTACAGTCACCATGGCATCTAGGGCGGTGCTTGCCCCGTCTAAAAGTGACTTGGAATGGTGATGCTGCTGCTGCTGCTGCTCTTTCTGTGTAAGGGAAGGACCAGGCTGGAAGCGAGAGGAAGGAGGGGAGGCGTGTGAGGTGGTGGCGGGTGCCCACGAGTGCGCGGCAGGGGGAAGATCAAATCCAGACTTGGACACGGGAATGTTTGGCGAGGGGTGCGACGGCATAGCTGCAAGCAGGCGCGATGGGGACATGGATGGTGACAGCGATGCCGATGCTGACTGCGATGCCGATGCTGATTGCGATGCCGATTCTGATTGCGATGCCGATGCTGATTGCGATGCCGATGCTGATTGCGATGCCGATGCTGATGCTGAGGTTGGGAACGCCTTCGGTTGGGCATGGGAAGCTGGGGGGGATGCCTGGGGGGGTGAGGAAGCAGCAACAGCAGCAGCAGGGCTACCTGTGCGACCATCTGGCTTCACCTCCAGTCTCCCTTCTGACAGGGATGATGACCGAGACGGGCGAGGAGGCCGGAGGGGCGATCTAGCAGGGGTACGGGAGGGTGAGTGCCCAGGTGAAAACGCAGGAGTTGGCGAAGCCGGGTGCCCAGGTGAAAACGCAGGCGACATGCCAGGTGATCTGCCAGGTGATCTGCCAGGTGAAAAGCCACCCAGCTCAGCTCCCTCGCTCCCTCCTCGGCCCCGCACGTGCCCTGCTGGCGGCATGTCCGGGAACCGCCCTTCAGCAATACGCCCTGCCCCAGGTGGCACCTGCCCTTCCGCCCCTTCCGTCCCTTCCGAACCTACCTGCCCTTGGGTGCCTTCCTGTCCTTCCTTATCACCCGACATTCCTCCCAGGTTCATGAGTGGCGTATCATTCGCCACTGGAAACTCGTTAGTGTCAGATGCGCTACTGGCAGCAGGGTGGCTGGAAAAGACGTCTCGAGAATGAGTGGAAAGAGCTGTGCTACCATCACCTGTAACCCCCTCGTCCTCCTCTATGCTACACAGACTGCTTCGCACACTCCCACTGCCGCTCCTGCTCCTCCTCCTCTCGCACCCCATCCCCTCCCTGTGCCCTCCCCCTTCCTTCTCCCTCTCTCCATCCCTTCCCCGTACCTCCTCTCGCTCTCCTTCCGTCACGCCCTCCCCCCTTCTCTCCACTCCTGAAATCCCCAAGCCCTGAATCCTAGTCGCCCTTCCCCCGCGCTCATCCCTCTCCCTCTCACCCTCTCTTCCCCCTCTCTCACGCGCTCCGCCCTTCTCCCTCTCGCCACAGTCGCCCCTCCCTGCGTCCTCCTCCTCGCCCCTCTCTGCGTCCTCTCCACCCTGTGCTCGCTGCAGGGACCGCCTAATCGCTATCGCTTCCATCAGCGAGCTCGGCTCGCGGATTTCATCGTCTAGCGCCATGCCCTCTTCGCTGCCTTGGTCATCCTCGTTATTAGCTTCCTCGCTATTCGGATCTCCACCGCCAATAGCTGTTCCCTGCTCTTTCCTGTCTGCTTCGTTCTTGTTACCGTTGCCTTGTCTTACTCCCCGCTTCCGCGACAATTTCCCGGAGCTCCCCCCAGCTTCCCCACTACCCAGTTCCCCTTGCGAATCTTCCGCCCCTTCCTCCGCCATTCCCCCTTCGCCTGCCCCCTTCATCCGCCTGTTCCGCAGGCGGTGGATGCGCTCCGAGCGCTCCGCCATGTCCTCGGGGTCCCAGTCCCCCGCCACCATTCCGCTGTGCGGAAAGAAGCACGCACGGAAGCTCCCCGCGCCCATCGTCGCTCGGCGCAACGCGCGCGCTTTGCTCTTACTCTTGCGCTCCCTTACCCCGCTCGCGGAACTCCCGGCGCTGGCCGTTGCGGTGACGGCAGCGCCGCTATTCACGGCGCTGATTGCGGCGCTGGCAGCTGCCGAGCCGGCGTAACTGCTGGGGATGCTGCTGCTGCCGCTGCTGGCGACCCCATCGCTAAAGAAAGCCGCTGGAAAAAAGGAGTGTACGTGTTGGCTGCTGCTGCTGCTGCTGTTGATGCTACTGACATCGCTAGAGGCAGACCGGGAACTCGCCGACTTGCTAAAAAGCCACCGACGATCTCTCGGCCGGCCTTTATTCGCCGCCGCCGCCGCTGCTGCTGCTGCTGCTCCAATCGCAGCGACGCCAGCCCCGTTATTGGCATCTACCGATACAGGAACGCTCGGAGTACCATCGCGAGAGCCTCTTAACGAAAGCATGAAGCGGCGGCTTCGTGATTTAGTTGGAGACGTAAGGCTCGCTGTACGGGGAACTGGACTTTGCGGACCGGATGAGGGTTCACTAACCATAACGCTGCCGCTTCTAACGGGGATACTTGCGGAATGTGGACTGTCGTGTAACGAGTATTCCGAGGACAGGCTTTTATCGGAGCCCTGGTGAGAATACTTCACATTTGCCATCTTGCTAGATACACCTACTTGTCTCCTTTTACACGGCCTGTACCGACGCCGCTGCAAGCGCTTAGTAGCGCAATCTCGGCTTCATCAAATAGTCAGAACCTAAACAGTACCAACACCTAACTTGCTTGCTGGTCAACAAACTGAGTAGAAAGGCTTGAATGGGTGAAACACTGAATGTATGCGATGGCTGGATTGGGGGAGACGACGACACATGGTATGCGGGAGAACATCATAAAAAGGAAGGCAGGGAGATAATCGAGAGATACAGTGGGGTGACACGGCACGGCACCAGACATACAGACATGGTACTGTATCAATGGACGCACCAACATCGGGGGAGTTGCGGTGCGTTTTTCAAACGCAACAAATGTTCCCGAGGTGCTTTTTTCGCTGGCGACAGAGAATCTCGGGCTCGTTCCAATCTCGGTCGGGATGACCCTAGGTTCTGTCGCGAAGTTCCTGATATTCTTTTGAACCGTCATTCTCGATGACACAAAGGTTCGCTTGGCTCGAAGATACTGTACAGAAATTGAAGGACGGGGTTTGGTTCGCTGGCTCGAAGATACTGTACAGAAATTGAAGGATAGGGTGTGGTGTGCAGCAATGTTCCCCATGGCCTGCTGATAACGAGTAAACACAAACATGCTACAAAATCCCTTAAAAAATACGCGCTATACTCTCAATAACCTCACCACTACACGCATTTCCTGTCTGCATAAGAGCATCACCCTTCACTTGAAAATGCATACTTCTGATTTTCCATTCCCGATTCTGACGTTACATCGCTTCTTTAGGGTCTAACTTTTTTCATTCACACCACTCGCCGTTATTTTCGCTGGCTGCGTTCTGTGGGCGCATCAGCCCGCATCAATGTACATTGATGCATTCTACCACGGCTCCGAGATACTTCCGTCATAACCTGCCGAGAGGTTATCAAGGTTCGCGATAAGCGCATGTCTGCCGAAGCGAAACAAAACCGAATGCCTGCAGAACGGCCTTTTTGGCGACCAAAATTTAACATGTTGCCGATTTACGAGAAATTTCTCGTCCTAGCGATCTGGCGCATCATTGATGCGCGCATCATGCAACTCCGAGAAGTCGCATGATGCGCGCATCAGCTGGTGCGGAGCACCCTCATTCGTCAATTTGTTTCTTCCTAAACCCTCATTGGTTGGCACCATTAGAAAAAATTGCGGTCTAACTTCCTAGAAACCCATAAGATTTTGGAAATTTGAGGAAATTGGATTTCGAGATCTGACATGCACAAATTCGAGGTTCGGACGTGGCTCGGAAAATTGGAAATAGAAGATTTCGGCAACCTCGTCCGAACCTCGTCCGAGCCTCAATTTATCGATTTCAATTTTGTCATTTCCGAACCTCAATATCTCAATGTGCGCGTCAGCCCGAGCCTCAGACGCATCAGAGCTGATGCGCCTGCAGAACGCAGCCACTACGAAATTGCACCCTCGAAATGTGAACTGATCCGCTCCTGACCCGACCACTCTCCTGACCCAACCACTCTCCTAACAGATCTGTTTGTGATCACACTCCTCAATAGCATAATCGATATCATGAAATCATGCCGGAATGAGTAGCCAATCAGTGCGGTGCGGCGCGTCGCGGTAATACTCTCATAAGTGGCCGTGCCATCGATGGCATGATTCCACCCAGCACGTATGGCCTTCGAATAGGCGCTTCGTCCCATCTAGCACCGTCAGCATTGTGAGCGCCTTCATCGCCGTCAGCACCGTTAGCACCACCGCGACCGGCATGCCAATCCACCATCCAACCCCCTGGCAAACCCGTCAACCCTCATCTTCGTTATTCAGCTTTTTAGGGTTTCCGCGGTTTCGCCGCTTGCTGGCGCGAATGCCGCAGCGGTACGTGGTTGTGCTGCTGACTGCAGCATGCACGACGGTGTGTTATATCGAACGCGTGGGGTTCAGCGTGGCGTACTCGTTAGTAGCTAATCGCAACCATGTGGATCAGGCCACCAAGGGCTGGGTGCTCTCGGCGTTTTATTACGGATACGCCCTTTCCCAGGTGGGTGTCTTGCGAATGCGCCCTGTTTCAGGTGATTGCGTCGCGAATTCGTAAGGGTTCAAATTTCACGAATTCTCTGCTGTGTGTTTCACTGAGTGTTTGGCTTCACCGTGCCTGCCGTGCCGCCCACTGTCCCTTCTTCCTCAGTGCCCCACGCTGTCCCAGCCGTCACCCTCATACCATCTCCACACGTCATCACCTCCCAGGAAGAACCGCTGCTCCCTTCCCCTCCGCTCTCCTTCTTCCCCTCCGCTCTCCTTCTTCCCAGTTAGCTCCACTTCTCCCATCCACTCGCCTCTTGTTCACACGCCATCAGCGACGAGGCAGTCCCACCACTAATCAACCGCTATGCTGTCCTAAGAGCCATCCCCGTCTGCTTCCGTGGCCCGGAATTTGCGAGAATCGTGAGAAACAGGAAATGCCGGAAGTCGACCTGCTGATCTCTCCCTTCCCTCTCCATCCCCGTTTCTCCCATTCGTGCGTCCCCATTTCCCCTCACCAGCTGCCTGGGAGTTCTGCTGCTCAGCGCTTTCGAGGCCGGCGGGCCATCACCATGGCCTTCCTCGCCTGGGGGAGGAATGCGTGGCGCTGAATGCTTGAATCCACTCACCCATCCCCTCTCCTCCCATTCTTCCAAACTTCCTTCCAGGTCTCAGGCAGCTCTGCAGCGCAACGTTCTTTTTGAGGCCGGAGGGTGATCACGTGATCACCGTGGCCTTCCTTGGCTGGTGTGCTTGAACTTGCACTTCCATCCCCCCCCTTCTCTTCCCCCTTCTCACTCACTCCCGTCCCAGCTGCCAGGCAGCTCCGCCGCACAGCGCTTTGGAGGCAGACGAGTCATCACAGTGGCCTTCTCTTCCTCGCCTGGACCGTCCTCTCCCTCCTCACTCCTTCCCACCCCTCCTTCGCCCCCCTCTTACTTCCTAATCTCCTTTCAGGTGCCTGGTAGTTCTGCAGCGCAACGCTATGGCGGCCGGAGGGTGATCACAGTGGCCTTCCTCGCCTGGACCGCCCTCTCCCTGCTAACTCCCTCAAACCCGACCTCCTCCTCCCTCACCTCGCCCTCCCTCCTCGCGCTGCTCCTCATCCGCTTCCTAGTGGGCGCCACGCAGGGCTTCATCTTCCCCTCCATCCACACAGTGCTCGCCCTCTGCATCCCTCCCCATGAAAAATCCCGAGCCGTCAGCCTCACAATGTCGGGGATGTATCTGGGGGCCGGGGCGGCTATGTCTCTCATGCCGGCTGTAGCGGCGGGGGAGGCGCCCTGGGGCGGGCCGGCCGCGGTGTTTCGGTGGTCAGCTGGGCTGGGGTTGATGTGGGTGGTGCTGTGGGTGCGGCTGTTTTCAAAGGATCCGCCTGGAGGAGGGGGGATGGGAAGAGGGAGCGGTGGTGGCAGTGCTGGTGATGGGAACCCGCTCTCTCCCCGTTTGCCTGGAAGTAAGCACGATCTCCTACAGGATGATGATGTGAAAGACAGTGCGGTTGGGAGTGGTGGAAGCAGCAGCAGCTGTAGCAGCAGTAAGGTTATTCCTTGGGGAGCCATGATGAGCAGCTGGGCCATCTGGGCTATAGTTATTAATAACTACACTTTTCATTACGCACTTTACGTGCTTATGAACTGGCTTCCTTCCTACTTCGAGCAAGCGCTACACACATCGCTCCAAAGCATCGGCATCGGCAAATCCCTCCCGTATTACATTATGATGATATTTTCCAACGTTGGTGGCGTGGCTGCGGATTTCCTTATCACGTCGCAATACCTGTCAATCGCAGCTACCCGGAAGGTTCTGAATACGGTTGGGTTTCTTATTGGAGCTTTGGCACTGTGCCTGATGCCGGTTCTTTCGTCGGTCACGGGAGCTATTTTATGCTCAACCATAACTCTGGGTGCTTGTGCATTTGCACGAGCAGGCTTCTCAGTGAACCACATGGATATTGCACCAAGGTATGCAGGCCCCGTTATGGGTATCTCCAATACTGCTGGGACATTGGCGGGCATCGTAGGGGTGGCAGCAACAGGGTTAATTCTCCAAGCATGGGCTACGGATATTGAATTTGGATGGTGGCTTGCGTTTGTTACGCCGGCTGGACTATGTGTGCTGAGTGCTGCAATCTTTTGTGCTTTTGCAACAGGGGAGAGATTGTTTGATTAAATAGTGGTTCGTTAATATCATTTAGCAATTATAATGTAGTTTCAATTCGTCTGATATTTTATTGACTCGAATGGTAGAGCGGGACCACAAACGAAACACTCGATCCACTCGCCGTAAGGGCGTGTAAAGTCGCGCACCATTTGCGAAATTTGCAAATGGCTGGAAATCCGACGACTTTTTGGTCGTTATTTCTTTCGCGAACAACGACCACTTGGTCGACATTTGGTCGCCCACCAAAACGGCCTGTACTTGCCATTTTCTAGACAAGTTTGCAGGCCGATTTGCGGGCCGCATGAACAAAGATGTCAAATTGGCAGCCTCGCACAAACCAGCCACTTTGCGACCCAGTCGCACATTTGACTCCAGTAGTGGCACAACCACTCGTTCTATCGCAGGGCGCTTTGTGCGACGATGGGCACATCTGTCGCACTGACTAGTCGGCTTCGTGGCCGTTTGCGAGTCGACTCGGCGTCGTTGTCGTGTCGGTTCGCTGAAACGGCCATCAAATATTTCGAAATTTCGCGAACTTAACGAGCTTCGTCCAAAACACTGGGAGTGCCGTAAAAGGGTTACTTTCGCCAATAACGGCCCGACGGGTTTTCCCAAAATTTGTTGTGGCACGACTTTACACGCCCTAATAGACAGCTTCCCACGCTCATCATCGTACGGTTCGTCTGTATGGAATCGTGTAGTTGTCGCTGAATCATTCGCTCGTCCTTCGGCGAACGCCCGATGTTGTCGTCGTGTGCACCCTTTCTTCTGCGGGCTGCTTTAGTCCACCGTTCGAAACTTATCAAAAAATAATACATTACAGCATATTTTTATGTCCATCAAGCAGACATTGTACCGGTCCATTCTCGAGATCAACTGATCAGGTCTATCAAGTTCACAGTTTCCAAGGCTTCATTATCTCACATCCTGTTGCTGACCCAGAGAGTTGTGCAAGGAATCAATTCGCATGTCTACTATTGGCCAAACATATCACATGGAACATTCAAGGTTATCGACCTTCATCCCCTGGTTTCATCAGCAACAACACAACACATTCTCCAGGAGCATTGGGCCTCTGAAGGCTCATGGCAGCATCTATTTAATGTGCTCAGTCAGTCAGCTGCACAAGCATATCTCGCCTTTGTGCATTATCGACCGCTGGTTCAAGTTCATCATCGCACAATGCCGCGTGCTCCGCCGAAGGAACGTGCTCCACTGTTGCCGAAGAAGGCTACTGTCAGAATATTATCTTATTGTTCTAGCCTGTAGTGGGGTGCTCTATAGCGAGTACAACCCTTCTAGGGTTTGCTATTTGTATCCTCATTCTTGCTAGTTCAATCCTCTTTTCTTCTTCTAATTTTGACAGCTACTGTTACTGAAGCGCATCCTGCTGACAAGGGAAAGCAAGTGGTAGAGGACACTCATGAGGAATCTATCCCTGGTGGTTCTAGATTATCGCTGGAAGAGAAGTTGGCCGCGCTTACCTCTGCGCATGACGGGGTGGAGGATGAATTCTCAGACGATGATTCAGACGACGAACTTGACTACGACGTCACCACGGACTCAGTCGCCAGCAAGCGTTACACAGCCATCCTGCTACTCCCGTTCATCCTGCAGCAGGAACTTGCATCTGTCATCGTGACGGCACGGATGCTACTGAAGCGTGTCTGGTCTTCGCTTTTATCTGATGGAGCTAACACCCAAGTTAACTTTCAGGAACTTACCCCTGGTTACGTTGCCAAGAAGAGATACAGCCGTCTTCAAGTTTCCTTCCTGAAAGAAGAAGATGCGAACAGTGTCCGTCAGGCAACCCTAGACTATCAATAGGCTAACGGCACGTCACACAGATTACATTGGCTGCACACTGAGAACACGGCTTATGCTCAGGAGAAGGCATCTAACCCGCGTGTTATTGAAGTAATGTTCAAAGACATACCTGCCAATATCACGCCGGAAGGCTTGGAGGAGATGCTGGTCAAGTTCAAGTTGAAGATCCGCCAGACTACGCCATTTCTGGAGGGTCGCTGCTTTCACCGTGTGTTGCACCCGATCTCTGGAGCTGACACGAGTGTGATAAAGGGACGGGTGATTCCACACCCGGAGGATAAGAAAAGGCGCTGGATCCATCAAGTCAAGCACCCTCTTGAGCACGGCAAGACGCTTCTGGTCCACTAACTTGTGCTCTCCTGTTTGCTCTGTGGGGGAGCGCATTATGAAAAGCATCATGATGTCTTTACCACGGAGTGCCAGAATAACATAGGGAAGTGGTCTCTGAGCATAGGCCGTGTGCATAGGATTAACGGTAACGCTGAGCCGTGTCAGAATATATAGCTTGTGCTTATTGTGTAGGCTATAGTGGGGTAGCCCACAAGGGGTACAACCCAATTAGGGTTAGTACTTGTACTCAGTTCGTTCATAGTTCACACATTCTCGTTTCAGTTTTCTCATGGTATCGAGCAGGTTCCCTCGTGGGAACTGTTCATAGGGCCCTACTACTGCTTCTGCTGTTACTCGATCTGTTGCACGCCCCGTGGCGTGCGACCTATTTGGCGCGCGGCGATTTTCTTTCTGGCGCGCGCCCTGAGGCGCGCGGCCCCGCTACCCCGTCGCGCTGCCCTAGCAGCCGCGTCGCGTCGCCCTCGCGGCCCCGATCCGCCGCCCTAGTGGCCCCGTCACCTATCCCTGCGGCCTCAGCGCCGCCCTTCCCGGCCCCGGCGCCACCTCGGCTGGCCCCGTCGCCTACCCCGGCGACCCCGACGCCGCTCTTCCCGACCCGGCCCCGCCTCTGCTGGCCCCGTCGCCTACCCCTGCGGCCCCGGCGCTGCCCTTCCCGGCCCCGGCGCCACCTCTGCTAGCCCCGACGCCGCCCTTCCCGGCCCCGACGACGCCCTTCCCGGCCCCGTCGCGTACCTCCCCGGCCCCGGCGCCGCCCTTCCCGGCCCCGGCGCCGCCTCTGCTGGCCCGGTCGCCTACCCTGCGGCCCCGGCGCCGCCTCTGCTGGCCCCGTCGCCGCTCCACTCGGCCCCGCCGCCGTCCCCAAGCGGCCCCGCCGTCACCACCGAGCCGCCGGCGCCGCCGAGCTAGTGCCGAGCCACCCGAGCCACCCGAGCCGCCCGAGCCGCAGCGCCACCTCAGCCGCCCGAGCCGCCAGGTCGCCGAGCCGCCGAGCTGCAGTTGCCGCCCGAGCCGCCGAGCCGCCGAGCCACCCGAGTCGCCCGAGTCGCCCGAGCCGCCGAGCCGCAGTTACTGCAGTGCCGCCGTGCCGCCGAGCCGCCCGCACTCCTGAGTCGCCGAGTCGTCGAGCCTGCTCTTCCCACCACTGGTGAGCCCCTGCCTTACTAGCGCGCTGCCTGCCACTTGCTTGGCTCCCTACCTTATTGCTGCTACTCCTGCTCCTGCTTCTACTGGCGGAGCCAGATGTAGCCCCAGCGACGTCCGCGTGAGTCCCTCACGCCCCAGCAGCTGCGTGAGTGGTACGCTAGTTGGGGTTGTAGGGGTGGCAGCGCTACTACTGCTACTACTACAGGCGGCGGCCAGATGCAGCTCCAGCGACGCCCACGAGCGTCTCTCACGCCCCAGCAGCTTCGTGAGTGGTACGCTCAGAGTAGAGGGTCTCTCAGTTCTGTTCGCTGCTCTTACGTGATTCGCACTGGTACTCGGACTAGTCAGCCTTGTGGGACGCCTAGTCACACACAGTCCCGCTGCTTCGCCCGTCTGAGCGACGCCAGGCGTACCGAGTTTGGCGACGAGGCTGAGCTCCCCGACTGGGTGGAGTTGCTTAGGCAGAGGGTATATATATTTGCTCTTGACTATGATGCTATTCTCACTGCCATGTATGCATTGCCTACTAGTGCTGACTGTGCCGGTCACCTGTGCGTACCGCCTGACCCGGGTATAGAGCCTGCTGCTCTAGCTGCTGGTGAGGCTGCTGCTCTGGGTGCTAGTGTGTCTCCTGCTCCAGGTACAGGTGCGGCTGCTGCTCTAGGTGCTAGTGAGTCTGCTTCCTCAGGTGCGGGTGAGTCTGCTCTCTCAGGTACCGCGTCGGCTCCGGCCTCTCACACCTTCACCCTTGACTCAGGGGCTTCCCGCTCCTTCTTTCGAGACCGCACCACACTCACGCCGCTTGGTCGGCCAGTTGCAGTCTCTCTAGCAGACCCCTCTGGGGGGCCCTGTCCTTGCTCACTTCTCCACTGTCCTCCCGTGTCCGGCGGCCCCCTCTGGCACCCTGTCTGGTCTTTACCTCCCCTCGTTCTCTACGAACTTGGTGAGTGGTGCTGACCTGCAGGATGCGCGGGTTCACCAGTTCACTCCTGCGAGTCAGCGGGTGACCCACTGCACAGACGCTCGGACAGGCCGACACCTGGCCACCTTTACTCGTCGGCCGGGGTTGAGCCTGTACACACTTACCACTGCGTCTCCTCAAGTCATTGCGTCTAGTCAGGTAGCTGCATCGGGTCAGGTGTTTGCTGCAGCGTCCAGGTCTGGTCCTGAGTCTGCCCCCTGCTCGTGTCGCCTCCTGTCTCACGAGACTCTCCTCTGGCACCACCCCCTTGGTCACCCCTCCCTGCTTCGTCTCCGAAGCATGGCCTCCCGTGTTCTTGTCTCTGGTCTTCCCCGGTCCCTCCCTCCCCTTCCTCCAGAGCCTGGCCCTACCTGCGTCCCCTGTGTCGAGGGGCGGCAGCGGGCTGCCCCTCACTCCTCCCAGTTTCCTCCGACAGAGACCCCGCTGCAGACGCTTCACATGGACGTGTGGGGCCCGGCCCGCGTCCGTGGACAGGGTCACGAGCGCTACTTCCTGCTGGTGGTTGATGACTACTCGCGTTACACCACAGTCTTCCCCTTGCGCAGCAAGGGTGATGTCACTGAGGTGTTGATCGACTGGATCCGCGCAGCTCGTCTCCAGCTCAGGCGGAGCTTCGGCTCGGACTTTCCTGTTCTGCGTCTGCACTCTGACAGAGGCGGAGAGTTCTCCTCTGGCCTTCTGCGAGCCTACTGTCGTGCACGAGGCA